ATAAGCATTTATAGCAGCAGCCGCGGCTTCGGAATCCTCGAAGTCCGCGACCATCGCTTCGCACTTAAGGCGTGTAAACACCTGACGGGCAAAGTGAAGAAAATGCTCGTCGGTTGCTAATGAGGATTCTACATACATCCGGTTTGCTGTCTCTAGCTGAATGGGGGGCTCGGTTTCCCAAGGGGCAGCGGGACCGCGCAAGGCTGGGAGGTCAAGGGGCGAAGAAAGGGGGAAATGCTGATCCATCTCATCTCGTGTTTCTCCCCGTGCTCCCATTTGCGCCATTTTAAAGACGGAAAGAATGCTGAATGGGGAAAACACAAAGTTCAAACCTCCCCTTTCCCTCTTCCCTGCGGCGATTGTGGTGTACAGTTCAGTGGCTACAACGCCCATGCATTCAGTACCCGAATATTCGCTGCCATTATGTCCCATACTACAGACTACACAACTGAAAAGACTCAACAAGAGAGTATACGCACGTAACATCTTCAGCAACACCGATCTAAACTCCACCAACCTGCAGGTTCTGGACCGGTGGTTGGGAGGCAATGAATGAAAGTAGTCGAGAGGGGAGGGAAAGCCATACACGATGAAACTACCCACGGCATTCCATGGTGTGTGGAGGAAATTTAGCCAAATCTGGATAAGTTGGAGCAGGCCCAGAAACACCCTTCCCGTTAGCGCCACTCTGGCCGGGCGGCATCGACGGTCACTCCAGGCCTGGAGTTGCGGAGCACCCTCTGGGGTTATGCCGTTGTGTTTAAACTACTATGATTCTGCAAAAAAATATTCAGCACGGAAAAATTGTTGTGTGTCGATTTTTACAATGCAAGCCGCCCGCTTGGGCCCGGAGAGTTCGGACAGGCAGACCTTCGCTACAAACGGAACTGACCGCTAGAACTAGTTTCCAAAGCGACGCAAACTCTATGCACCGTTGATTTCTTTCTGTAAATAGTAAATTTTGGTTTAGATGGTTTCCTACGAGACTTGTTTCTCCGGTTGTTGTTATCGCCTGGGGGATCAAACAGTCTCGTATACTACACCTTTCTGGCACTCCGTTGAGTTAGTACCCCCCGATAGCCTAAGAGCTACAGCAAACCACCAATACAATGTTTTGTTCGCCTAACGGATCGAAAAGTGGGAGTTTTGTTTTGTAATAACTTCCCGCTGGCGTCACGCAGGAAATCGGCAAAGCAAAGGTGCTAAAGTTAAATACATATTTAACTCATGAATGCTCACGTAAATAGCAAGCTGGCTAGGAGCAGGAGAACTCCCCCATACATTGGGTAGGGTCCAGCGTATGGGAAGGGCCATGCCTATGTACAGAGCCCTTCACTCTCCTCTCCTTGGTCGACGATTTGGCTTATATTGCAGGCTTACCAGCAAAGTGTAGATGCCACAATTTGGTCAATGCACGCTTCCGAGAGATGTTAACGAAGTCTCCACAATTTCCCTGTACTTTCTTCACAAGGAAAGCAGTGATACTATTGCGAGAAGGAGCAGCTGGAGGAGATGAGATCTCGACCCCGCGGGTAGCAACGCGCAAAAATGAATGAACGAAAGGCTAACTATTAAGTGGAGAAGATAGCGGCAACCCATGCGAGTTTGTGGCGAACGTTTCTCCGCACCAATTCCTCAGAAAAACCCACATGCCTCTCCCTTGCTATATGCTCCAACTGAAAACGCGAGCACGCGCATCGCATCGTAATCTTTCGGTGCTTAAGGCATTCTGCTGGCAGTTGAACTTGCACATAAAACACCGACTCCATTAGGGCTACGTACGAGTTCATCGACTAGCTATTCATATGTTCTCATCTGCGCCACTCACTGTACCTGTCGCTGCCAGCACTTAGAATTATTCGCTTTCCCGGTGTGCCCAGTTCCAGCGCTCCCAGTATCCCTGCTTCAGTTGCGCAGATACTGGGTGTCGGCGGCAGTTCTATGGACATTTCCGAAATATAATAGGATGCATTTGATTGTCAGAGGAACCAACCTTACGTGGGCAGCACCCACACTACGAGAGCCAGCTTCGAGCTTAGGGCTGGCAGTAGCAGTTGCAGTTTAAAGCAGGGGAAGACAACGTTCTCTTTTCCATTTACCAATTCCGTTTACTTTTATGCTGGGTCAACGGTCCTCCTATGACATCCTTCCCCTCCTGCGGCGTACGCATCATTAGTTGGGAAACAAGGACCCGAGGGCTTGTGCCGTTTGGTGAGGATGGTCAATAGATGCTCCACGGTCTGCCTGAAGTTGGGCCATTGATTGCCAACTTGAGCGCATGCAAGATATTGAGGGCCAACTAAGTCTTTGTGGGCGCCGGGAGAGACTTCGACCGTAGTGTGGGAGTGTCATAAACTGCAAAACTCAAAAAGCTTGATCGAAGAGCCGTTAAAAAGCAGCTTAACCCTCGTTCAAAACCCAAGATTCCTGGGCAAAATGGTGGGGGACTTGTAGGAAGAAAAGTTGGAACCCCATCCAACTGGCATAATACCTTACTACAATTGTGCTCCGTGCCCCGCACATGCATGCATACCGAACCCCCCTGTGGATGAACGGAATAACAATTTACACAGGTTTTAAACACTAATTTGGCCATCATTAAGCAAACTGAAGGCAAGCAGTAGCAAATCGAACTTCTGCATTCCGTGCTAGAATTCCCCTACGTCACCATGAAGCACCGAAAACTCGGGCACTGCAAGATTTGGCAGGCAGTCTGAATGGTACAGGGCAAGCCCACTCAATAACCTGATTTTTGGACCCTTTAATCTGATATAATAAACCTCATTTGTCGAATGTGGCGTACTCTTACCGGTCGCTGCTGCTTGTGGCAGCAGGGCCCCCGTGGGCCCCGACGAAGGCACTTGGGGCCCCCGTTGAGCCCTGTGGATCCTTGGTTTGTCTATTGCCACTAGGTCTCACAATGTATGGTTATTTGGATTATTTTGTCTTATATTTGTTTGTCCCTCACTGGAATAGGAGGAAACGGCAGCTAGGGAGCTTGTGGTACCCCCGCATGTCGGTTTATGAAACCCTGGCTTCGGCTGTTGGAATCCCCCAATTTTAGGTGAAAAAGCTGCGGATGAAATGGATAGGAGGTCATAATAACAAGGCCAGCAAGCTTAATCACCCGGATTTTGCCCTCTATACTTCGAGGCCGCGGCAGCGCTGGACGATGCCCGTGCAATCTTTTCCCTCTTATTCACCATAGGGCGCGAGGGTCCTGTGGGGTTTATGTTTTATTTGGCTTGTTTCTGCCATTTATCGACTTGGTGGCTTCGTATATAGCCACTGTGGACTGCAAGTGGCATATTAAAACACCAAACACACGCCCTCGACATTCAATGTCGTTCCCAGAGGTTTCCTCCTGGCTGCGGGAGGAGCTGCAGCGCCGTGTGGGGGCTGCTACGCGCTCCCTCGTGGCTGCGGTTCAAGCTGCAGCAGATGGTGCACCGAACTCTCACCAGCTGTCTCTGACACTCCAGAAGGAGCTGCACTTTCCGCGGCAGGACGCCGACGAACTTGCCCCCGAGCTGCTTCGCCGTATGGCCGCAGCAGAGGCAGCAGCAACAGAAGCAGCATCAAGAGCAGTTGCCGCCGAAGAGGTCGCAGATAAAGCTGCACGTGAAAGCAGGAAGAGGCTCAGGGATGAGGAGACAAATGGTTAGACCGCAATTCCTCATGATGCTTGCTGTGCTCACGAACACAGAATTATGACAGACTTGCACGAGAACACTGCATAAGCAGTAGGGTGTGCTCCTTCAGGTCCTTTGGATATCATCGGCATTTGCGAGCTTATTCGCTGTGCGCACTGAGCTGCGTCTCGCAGGCTTGGGCGCCATGCTGTGTACCAGTAAAGCTTTCAGCCTGCTTTCAGCCTAGGTGTTATTTGTGTTTGCGCACCTGCAGGCCAGAGGGATGAGGACTCGGACGCCACAGAAGCAGCAGCGTTTGCAGCGCGCTTGCGCGCGCGAGATGCTGCGTCGCAAAAAAAGGTGGGCGCTGCAGCAGCGCGCCAGCAGCAGTTACAGCGGGAAGCCGAGGAGGCAGCAGCTGCAGCTGCAGCAGCAGAAGAACCTGCAAAGGAGCTGCGAACGGTAGAAGACGTGCTACTCGAGGCTAAGAAGCGGCCCAACGAAAAGCTGAAGGACAATGAGGCATACATGCAGCGGTTGCGAGAGGAAGCCCGTCGCGCGTACCTCAAGAAGCGAGAGGGAGACCAGGTGCTACTGCAGGAGAGGAAAGTCCAGGATAGGGAGTGGCTGTATAGCCAGGTTGGAGATAAGCTGACTGCTGAAGAGCGCCGAGCTCTTGAGCTGCGGAAGGAGACTCTCCAACTGGCAAAGACAGCCATTCAGGAGAGACAGGGCCGCGAGGAAATCGAGGGATACATCATGCCGGAGGCGTACGACGAAGACCTCCAGGCGCGCCTGCGCGTGATGCACCAGCCCTATCAAGAGCCTAAGCAGCAGCTTTCGGAACAGCAGCTGTTGGAGAAGCAAAAGACTCAGGCTGCCCTGGTCCGCTTCGGGGCCAAAGAAGGCAGAGAGCAGGCCCCTGCCTACAAGCTCGTCGACGAGGCTGGAGCAGCGATTGAATTCGAAGCCAGAGAGATGCATGGGACCCAAATGCCTGAGACGGATGCCAACGTCCAGAAGGTCGTTCAAGCTCCAGAGACGGCCCCCAAAACCAAGGGTCAGAGCTTGCAGGTCTGTTGGTGGTGCTGTGTATTCCTGTGTTCTCCTGTCGCGCATGTTCTGCCTTCCTGCCTCATCTCACTCTCCTTTTCTTCGGATGGGTTGGGCTCGATTTGATGTCATTATGCCTCTGCATCTGTTGAGCTCTGTCGGCGCCTGCTTCGTAGCTCTCTCCTCCAAAGTTACGCTTGCTGCTCCCTTGGTGGCACGCTGGCTAGGTGGCTAGGATTTCTGCTGGGAAAGCGCATTTATGTACTCTTATTTGCATTATGAGCTGTTGTTCACCGTGCTGGTGCCAACAAGCCGCTGAATGTGCTCGCGTAGCAGTGTGTGCTCGTGTGTGGGATGGAATATTCGATGCTTCCGCTGCTTGTGCTGCAGGAGCAGCGTCGCTTGCTGCCTGTGTACGCTTACCGAGAGGAGTTTCTACGGGCAGTTGCGAAGTATCCCGTGCTCGTGGTTGTGGGAGAGACTGGATCGGGAAAGACGACTCAACTACCCCAGTTCTTGCGGGAGGTTGGGTATGCCAAGGCAGGGGTTGTAGGCTGTACACAGCCGCGGCGCATTGCAGCCATGTCCGTAGCAGCGCGAGTTGCCCAAGAAGTCGGCTGCCGCCTAGGCCTGGAGGTGCTTCCCGCACTCCCAACGCTTAACTCTAAACCTGAGAACCAAGCTCGTACACAAACACAAATATCCACCAATCGACAACACGTGGCAGCTGGAGGGGCAGCGCCTCTTCAGCCACCCTGCCATGTTCCTACCTTCGCGTGCAGCTGGTGGCAATCAGCCGGCACGCTTATTGGCTGGAAAGGGCTCTGAGATGCCTATCTGCAGCTAGCAGGAGAACGCGTGTGGCATGTGCGGCTTAGGTGGGGTATTCGATCCGCTTTGAGGACTGCACTAGCGACAAGACGGAGCTGAAGTATATGACGGATGGGATGCTTCTGCGAGAGTTTCTCACGGAGCCTGACCTTCAATCTTATTCTGCCCTAATGATAGACGAGGCCCATGAGCGAACGTTACACACAGATGTCCTCTTTGCGCTTGTCAAGGACCTATCCAGGTATCCTTCGCAGTGAATCATAGAGGTAGTAATGCCACCTCCCCCCTTCGCGAGGAGTCTTTAAAACGTGTGGCTCAATCCTTAGGTATCGTCAGTCTGCTAGGGAGTACACGTGAGCGCCAGGCAGACTTGTCGGCTAGTCACTGCAGCAGGAGAAACACACACGATTCCCTGTCGCGGGCTGGAGCAAACGCGCTGAGAACTAGGAGAAGCCACAGCTACATCGAATGCATAGGAAATACCTAAAGTGTAGTCCCGTAGGGCTGTACAGACGGCAACTGAGGCCTACCGGGGTAGTTAGATGTAGTTAGATGGAGCTAACAGGTGTTCTTACGGTCCTTCCACATGTTTGCGCTTCCTCGCTTGTGGGTCAAGGTTCTCGTCTTTATTTGGTTGTGTAAGCTATGCCTATATTGAACAATGGAATGCGTCCAGAATATGCACCCTGTGTAGGCAGCAGTAGACCGTTTGACTGCAAGGCGCGGTATTCAGCGAAGATTGCAAAGCGACACCTGGGGGACACACATGTTTTCAGGGTGGCCCGTTCGTGCGGGAGAAACGGTTTGAGAATTTAAAGTGGCGTTGGTTTTGAGGTTTGGATTGCCCATGCTTAAGAAGGCAAGGTGATGCTAGGACTGCAAACCCTGTCTTGTCTGTAGGTATCGCGAGGACTTTCGCCTAATAATATCTTCGGCAACGCTGGAGGCAGAGAAATTTTCGGTGTATTTTGATGATGCACCGATATTTCGGATCCCAGGAAGGCGGTTCCCAGTGCAGATTTATTACACGAAGAGTCCTGAGGCTAACTTCTTAGATGCTGCAGTCGTGACCGCTCTGCAGCTACACTTCACGCAGCCTCCAGGGGACATCCTTCTCTTTCTCCCGGGTCAGCAGGAAATCGATGAGGCCGTCGAGGAGATCCAGAGGCGGTCAGTGATTGTTGTTTAACAGCGCCTTCGCTACACTTGCGCCGCAGTTGCTGCTGCCTAAGCTGGAGCTAGGAGAGAGCTTATTTTTATACGCCATCGCTGCCTTTTTACTGTTGCGTCTTCCCGCCTGGTGTGGTTGACGGAGTTTGTTGTTTTGCACAGTACCACGATGGCCCTCTCGATTTGTCGGAATACTGTGAAAGGTGTTCGGTCCGGCGTCATATGTCACTTGTTGCTTCAGCTTGAAAGGCCGAGGGACGGAGGCTGCGGAGTTAATTGTGCTACCCTTGTATTCGTCTCTCCCAGGGGACCAACAGGCTCGGGTGTTTGAGCCGACTCCGCCAGGGGCGCGCAAGGCTGTCTTTGCCACCAACATCGCCGAGACATCGATTACCCTTGAAGGAGTTGTTTACGTGGTGGATTGCGGCTTCTGCAGAGAAAACCAATACAGTGCCAAGACAGGTGAGCCACAGCCGTCCGCCGATGCGCACAGGAGCAGCATGCAATAACCCAGCCGCAGGGAGTGGAAGGTACGCGACAAGGTAGACAGATGTGATAGGGCTGACAGGGAGGAACGCAGCGAGGAAATCCTAGCCAGGGCGATCCTGAATGTACGCCCACAAAAGGGCCGTATTAGCCCTCTCGGCGACTGAGGCCGTTGTCTCGAGAGTTACAATGGATCCATTATGCGCACTTATCTGCGTCAGACTTGGGTTGGCTGTATGAGGGGCATTGGGTTATTGTGCAATGCATTCTTGCGTTTGGGTGCATGCATGCATTAAGGTATGGACGCGCTGGTGACCGTGCCTTGCTCAAAGGCAGCGGCGAACCAGCGGTCTGGTCGCGCAGGGCGCGTCCGTGCTGGGCATTGTTTCCGTCTGTACACCCGATACTCTTTCGAGAAGGAGATGGAGGACGCAAATGTTCCTGAGATCCAAAGAGCCAATCTCAGTCATGTTGTGCTCACCCTCAAAGGCCTCGGCATCGACGATCTCCTCAAGTTCGACTTCATGGACCCCCCAGCCCCAGAAGCTCTCATAAGTGCCTTGGAGCTTCTCTATGCTCTCGCCGCCCTTAACGATCAGGTGTCCCTAGACTCCTACACATAAAAACATAAAACCCGTCGATGCTGCTTGGAAAGCGGAGAGGACAAACACGTTTCACTGTAGCTCAGGACTAAAGGCTGTGAACTATTGGTATTGCATATCTGTCTCTGTGGTGGCTTTACGTTTGGCATCTAGAGCATAACCTTGTTCTGCGTGGTTTGCTCTGAAAGAGGCACCAGACCCTCGATGTGATGGCGTCATGCTGCCTACTGGGATTCTCCACCTGTCCTGCAGCGCGAGAGGGGCACAAGGGCCTTGCTGAGCGCTGTTGTTCTTGCAACAGATATCATCGTAACTATTTACGTTCTCAACCTCTTTGTGATGTGGGTCGGCTCAGGGGGAGCTCACTAAGCTTGGTCGGCGAATGGCTGAGTTTCCGCTAGACCCTATGTTCAGCAAGTTCATTGTAAACTCCGAGAAATACGGATGCGTTTCCGAGGCATTGACGGTGTGCGCCATGCTGGGCGTGGGAAACATGCTCTTTTACCGCCCTAAGGACAAAGCCATTCACGCAGACAACGCCAGGAAGACATTCGCAAAGCCAGGCGGAGACCCCTTGACTCTTCTTAACGTCTATGAGCAGTGGCTAGACACAGGTCAGTAGCTACGCCGTTAGTGCTGCTGCTGCACTGGCTTGTGCTTCTCCCCCAACCCCAGCGTTGCCCAGCACCCCGACACATAGACATTCGCTTTCCGTTGCGCAGCTAGCACACAAGCTATCCGTACTAGCTGTCTAAGCTCCAATCACCCTAGGCAGCAGATAAGGCTGTAGGGCCAAGTGCCAGCACCGGCGTGACCTTATTAGTGTGCGAGCATCTGGCAGGAGTTCGTAAGCATCTGTGCAAGCACTTATGCGTGCAGCACGATGCGTACAAAAGCACATATCTGATTGCACTACTACGGTAAACAGATGTGACCTACGCTGTCCGGTGCAGGCTATTCGGTGGCTTGGTGCTACGAGAATTTTGTGCAGCATCGGTCAATGCAGCGCGCTCGAGACGTGCGAGAGCAATTGCAGGGACTTCTGGAGCGAGTTGAACTCGAGGAGAAATCGTGCGAGGGTGCTGATGAACCCATCCGAAAAGCCATCACCTCTGGCTTTTTTACCCAGGTAGGTGACGGCGCATTTCCCTATCTGCCATAACTTGGGTATCGCGGAAGATGCGTCGGATCAGTAGGTAGTGGGCGTTGACGTCCCGGGAAGTAGATGCAAAGCCTTTATATAAAAATGCCGCATATGTATTTTATATTAAACTACTCACTAGGACTTTTACCTTATGGGCCAGCTAGCCAGGCTGCTTGGCCAGCGAGTGAACTTACAAAGTAAGCACGCATCATCCTGTCTTTGTGGTAAATTCGTGGTTTATTCCTGCTGTTAGTTGCCCGTGTCTTGAAAGGTTCATGCTCTCCGCAGGCGGCGCGGCTGAATCGCCACGGCAGTTTCACTACGTTGAAGCATCCGCACACGGTGGAAATCCATCCACACTCTTCTTTGTTTGGGCAGTATCCACGGTTTGTGGTGTACACGGAACTCGCCCTGACAACGAAGGAGTATATGCGCAGTGTCTGCGAAGTCAAACCAGAATGGCTCGCCGAAGTCGCTCCCCACTTCTACAAACAACAGGAGCTGCAAGTCGGCAAAATGCCGAAGGCCCTTGGCAGACCCAAACAGGATGACACGGCTATGGGAGCAGCTACATGAGCAGGGCTTCCGAGAATGTTTGTTTTAGTATGTTGCCCCGCCATGCTCACGGTGGCGTACTAAGTTCTACAGCTCAGTCTCACCTGTCAACCCACAACCTAGGTTACTCCAAAACTTGGGGGGAGTAGAATCAAGCGAAACAGAAAAAGATGACAATGGCTAGAATAACTGTCCCCGCTTCAGCACGAGCATGTTGAACTCTTCGCGTAGTGTATTGAGGCTCGCAGGAGCATTGGCAACAGACTAATTGTATTAGCCTGCAGACGTTGCTTCACAAAATGTCTGCAGTCACTGGCAAAGACTACACACACGGCCAACAGACAAAGTTGAACCGGCAAAACGCTGAGCACACAAAACTCTGGGATAGTAGTCAGTGCGCTCGCGCATCTCGACTCCATGTATCAGCCTCCTAAGGAGAGTAAACCGCACATAGGAAGCAGAGCATGACGAAAGTTGTGCCAGCACATCAAGCAGCTCAATTAATTGAAGGACCAGAATTTGGGCTGAACACCTGGACGTATATTCTCTAGATGCTGCTCGCTAGGCGGAGGTTTGCGCCGTGTCGGCAGAAGGGGAGACAAAGTTGTGGCTTACAGTACCAGGTTCGCCTTTTGAAGCAGAAATCTTGTGCCCAAACTTGCTGTGAATTTGTCGGCGTATGTGTTTCGTCGATTCGACGGCCGGTTTTGGGAACTACAGAACTCGCCATGATTTTGTGCGTGTGCGGCTAGTAATACTGCGGCCATCAGGTGGGACAAGAAGCACTGCCTCTTGCGTTACTAAATGAATAGTGCTGTAGTTCTGCGTTGCACACCTCATTCATAAGCTACAACATAGCCCCCATGTTACAGAAGCTATACCATGCACACTAATTTAGAAGAAAGTGTGGAAGTGTTTCCTCGCTTAACTACTTAGACCTTTGACTGTTGTCGGCCAACAAAACACTTGTAATAGCTCAATCATCATCTGTTAGGCTTTTACTTGAAAGGTTCATTTATTTCATTGTAAGTTGTATACGCATGCGGCTTTATTCTAGTGAAAAACTCGGGAGATAGCGGTCTTCATCTGTGGAACACTGTTTTGGCCACGGAGAATACCGGAATCTTCCTTTCGCTGTGGCATCGATGCTTGTTGGCGGCAAGCGAAGAGCGCAGACCGCCTAGAGCTACCTCGAGAAGACTCTACGGTCAAAAGATCTGTGCGACAAACGCAGTGTTTGGCCACAGACTGCCGGAATCATCTGTCACTGCGGGTGCTTGTAAAATTCAGACTGGCTGCCTGATGTTCTCGTATCTGAGCTGTCGCAGTATTTTTTTACATGCGATATCCCCGGAGACTGCGGCTCAGGGCCCCACGGCTAGACTCGCCGTTGGAACTCTGGTGACCGCTTCTCTCCTGTTGCTCAGCCGAATCATTTCCTCGTCCTTCCCTATCATCGGAGCTGTCTGCGCCGGAGTCCCCTGAACTAGTGGAGCTGGTAGGAGGAGAGGGCTCAGCGCCGCCTTCAAAACCGGTTGCCTCCACTCGTTCACGGGCTGCGGCGGCGGCCTTGCGCGCTGCAGCTGCCGCGCGGCGCAGTCGGAACGCTGCTTGTCTGGCTTCCTTCGCTGCGAGTTCCAGGTCCTCAGCAAGCTGAGACTGGTGGTCATCTATTTGCTGATCATACTGCTCACCATCTGACTCCGCACTGCGGGTTGAATTCTCAGAATTCTGGCCTCCTGATTGTTCCTCCTCTTGATTCTGCTCGCTGCCTCTGTCTGGTCTGCCTGCAAATCTCTTTGGGATGAGACCTCCTCGGCCTGATCCCCTACTTGGGTGTCCCCCATCATGTCCAGGCCTTTGAGGTGGACCATGTCCAGGCCTTTGAGGTGGACCATGTCCAGGCCTTTGAGGTTCTTCAGGTTTCTCAACCTTATCATCTTCAGGTTTCTCAACCTTATCATCTTCAGGTTTG